AACAGAAGAGAAAGTAAAGAATTTCCTTGAAATAAATGCAATAAAATTTTTAAAAACTGGTAAAACTTGCGTATTTATTTAATTCTCAGATCTTAGTCGATATGTTTTTAATTATGTTTAATGAAGGTAGGTAGCTTAGTGTTCTCAAGGAAATAAAAAAAATATTTGTATTTATTAAGTGTTGCTTAATAAATTCCTACAGTACATAAATGATTATAATTAATTTTATGCGACTGAAAATACCGGTTTTTAGGAATTCAAAAAAAACTGCTATAATCTTCCCATAAAATGTTGCAAGCAATGCAAATAAAAACAAACAACATGCTGGTCTTAAAAAATATAATTTATCAAAGTTATTCAAATTATAAAGGTTCCTTGAGCGTTTTAAGTCATTCTCGTGAATTTTTTGCTCATTTTTCTACATCCAAAGTTAGTGCAGCGACTTTGAAAGTTAAATTAGACAATGATACAGAAAAACAAATTATGGAAAAACAGATTAAGGTAAAAAAAATATAATGAAATAGGTACTAAACTTTAGTTGACAAACTTTATACTTATTTCAGCCTCGCAAACATAAAGGAATTTGTAAAACTCCTCCTATTTCAATACCAGAAAGAATAGTGAAAGCAATGCCAAAAGTTATTGGCGATTTCCCAATGAAAACATTATGCGACAATAGTGCAGTCCTTGATCGATATATAAAATGTCGTAAAGCTCCAATAGAAGAAGCAAACATGAAACAAAGAATTAAAGAAATTGAAGAACTTGTCCTAGCAGATCCAATAAAATATAAACTTCCAAAATTTCCACAAAATGATGACGATAATAATGCTTTAAAATTGTTTCATTCACGAAAGAATCAGACAGTCAAAGCAATTGTAAAGCAACGAATTTATAGTTGGAAAGCAATAAATTATGACGATCATCAGTCACTTCTATATCTTTTCGGACGGTCAGCTCAAGAGTATGCAGCAATTATGAAAATATTCATAGAAATTCTTAAACGTGAACCAGATTTTATGCCACAAAGCTTTTTCGATTTTGGTTCAGGTGTTGGAACTGGTGCATGGGCAGCGCATGAATTATGGAGATCATCACTACATGAATACTATTGCGTTGATGCTTCTGCTGCTATGAATAATCTCGCTGATCTTCTTCTTCGGGATGGCGATATGAACAAAACGTTACAACTAAAAAATATTTATTTTCGACAATTTCTTCCCGCTTCAAATAACTTGTATGATATCGTCTTGTCAGCTTACTCGATGTTTGAGCTTCCAGACTTAAGAAAACGCTTAGAAGTTGCCAAAAATCTTTACAAAAAATCCGCGAATTATCTTGTTTTCGTAGAAGTTGGAACATATGCAGGTTTTCAAGTTCTTAGTGAGATCCGGGAATACTTAGTAAAATCAATGAAAATTAATGAAGATGATGCTTTCATTTTTTCTCCATGTCCACATGAAAGTTCATGCCCTAGACTTGCTTTACACGATAACACGCCATGCAACTTCAGTGTTGCATACCAAAGCCTCCCATTTTCTGGTCCTTCACTTCTAAAGTCAGACGTCTACAGTTATCTCGTCATCAAAAAAGGAAAACTAATGGAATCTAAGCGTTGGCCAAGAATTGTTCGGTCTCCATTAATTCGTCATAGGCACGTTGTTTGTCGAATGTGCACTGAAAATGGAAAAATTGAAGAAGGTATTTTCACTCCAACTAAACATGGAAAAGCTGTTTACAAATGTGCTAAAGCTTCACAATGGGGTGATAGATTACCAGTTCAGATCATGGAATCTGACGAATCTTTTGAACCTGATGAAACATCGAAAAATAATGAATAATTAAAAGAATTAAGTTTTTGTTTCCTAAAAGCAGAGTAAATGATAATTTTATTTCTTTGTCCATCAAACCGAAAAATAAACATTTTAGTTAAACATATTTCTTTTGTTAGTATTTCGCTAATGTTATAATCATTTTGTTCTTGTTCATAAATGTAAACTAAACAGCAATCATATAATTCCATCTTTATGGCTGGATTCATTACTTTTTCTTTTCACTACTTTCTTTCTCTGGTTTACGAAATAGAATATAGAAGACATATGTGTGAAGAATTAAATGGTTTTAAAAAATAAATGTTTTTGATTAGTCATATTTTTTTTCCCCTTTTTCAGATCTCCAAACTGTCGACATAATCGGATGCGCTTAAAAAGTTCAAAAGCTCATCGCGTTCTTGCATCAACTCATTGACAGCGGAGCGATGTTTCTTCGTTTTCGAATAGCGATAACGTGCTCCGTTTATGAGCTTATCGACGATGTAATGAAGCCACAAAAGATTTGTAAACGGTTCGTATCGCTCAAAGTTGTTTCTATAAAATGAAAAAAAAATTAGATTAAAAAATTAAATATTAAACTAAATTATAATTAAAACTTACTCAACACGGTCACGCATCAAACGGTAAATATCAAATTGATAATCTCCTGTTGATTGGAAGAGTTCTTCGTCACGCGCTAAATTATCATAGAGTACAGCACCGTCATAAACCATTCGGCTCAACGAGTAATCAATTATTGTGACTTTAACTCCATTTGTCGGCAATTTGACAACCTTACTGTCAAAACGAAATTCAACAGATTTATTTGTTGTTGGTGCGATGAGAATATTACCCCAATGTAAATCACGATGTTCAAACTCAAATTTACGTTCAGCAACAGCAAGAGTTAATGCAGTCTAAAAAAACGAAGCAAATAAATATAATAGAATAATTACTGATAAAATATAATTTTCACAATATTTTCATGTAGATCAGGTTAAATATCAATAATTAAAATGAATAATATTGTTACCTTTCTAAACAAAAAATACTTACAAAAAAGTTAAAAATAATAAAACAAATCAAATAAAAATTTTATCGAAGCTGTTTAATCGACTTGATAGATGAGTGAAAATCTAGTCATGAAATCAATTTTTGTTCAGCGAACTAATGTTGTTGTCACAACAGTGAAAAACAACAAATTGCTTGCTCCACATGTACTAAAGATTCACTCACCCACCAAAAAAATCAGAAAAACATAATTGAAGCGATTTCTTCTTTTAAAAAAAACTTTAAAAACTGCAAAACAAAAGAAAATCTCCCAACTTATTAAATGATCTCAATATCAAATGACATTGGATGAGTGTGTAATCTAGTCATTGATGAAAATGCTTTTATTGTAACAGAATGCACTAAATTCGCACCCATCCGATGGCATTTTATGAATGGAAAAACAAACGAAGAAAATATTTTAAACTTAATAAGAACATGAGCTTCTCCCTTCTTAAATTGATGAAGTAAACAAATAAATGGTGTAAAACTTACTTGTAAAAACACAGATTGAGCTTCAGCGGCGTTATTAAAGACAAAAGCTTCCAAATCTTTTCCACCATTACACAATTCAAAGACAATGTAAATTTGATTATGATCAAAGATTTCTGGATGATCGTTGTCACTTCCTTCAGGACGATTATCACGATACAATTCCCATTCATCAACAAGATGAAGAGGATAAGCGCCTTTAACGCATAAAACACGTTGTACATTTACAAAACCATTTGTTGCATAGTCTTTATTATTCCTCATGCCACTCAATTCCATTGAGATGATAATCTCTTGGAGTATTTCATCATAGCGTTTCTGAGGTTCGCCATTAACTAACTGATTACCTTCGATTGGAATGATTTTCAAAACAATCGGCTGGTGAGTTTTAGGGCATTTGTACATGAAAACTTCACCATAAACACCTTCTCCTATTTTGCAGCAATTTGGCAAAAGGCTGAATATTGAAAATGAAATATATTTATAACAAGTTAAGAAAATTTTATTTAATTAACTTAAACACTTAAATACCTCTCTGAATAAACCTCATTAAAAGGTAAAGGTTCCTGTTGACCGCAGCGACGTAAAACAATTTGACATGCACTTAAAATTGGGGTTGATGAATCATCATCAATTACTGGCTCTTGAAGACCATAAAAGATTGATGAACGTTCGAAGACACTGGTTTGTCGTTGGCTTGTTTTCCGTTGATCTTGGAAGGTTGTTGCACATTTAATTGACGAGTCAAGAATCGACAATGCCGCATGTAAAGTTCCCTCATCTGATTGTTCCAACAATGCAGCTGTGAATTGTTAACAAAAAGTTATTATTAAACTTGATAAAATATGTTGTTTGCAGTTTTTCATACACTACAATAACTTTTCTTTTCCTCATGTTTAATCGAAAATATTTTGATTAATTTTCAAAGAATATCATTTATTTGTGTTAGGTATTCAAAGTTTTCTAATTGGTTTACTTTTTTGATAAAACGTTGAAAGAACTTTAAATATGACATTCTATATTCGTGGTGAAATCAATTTATTAAAGTTGCATTATAAAGGATTATTAAAAAATAATATTTAGATGACAAAGCAAAAAATTAAGGAAAATATTCCGAGATATATTTCCCTTTACATTTACAATTGAAAATATTTTTTACCTTTTTTCGGTAATTCTGGCATACAATGATCCAACTTTGAAGTTTTTTTTAACGATTTTTTTTTATAAATTAGGTAGATATACAGTGATTTGAATTAATTCACAATCAGTGAAAGAAATAACTCTCTTTTTTCTTTATGTATTGCACCAAAATGTCAACTTTCACTTAATTTTTTTTTCACAACTGACTTTCTTTACAGTTATTTTTCAATTGAGACGTAGCTTACGCACTTTTAATTGCTTTACTTTGATTATATTTCTTATATTTCACAAAATAAAAAAATCTTAACACACATAGAATCAAGATCATATAAAAATCAATTATTTGCGGATTGGATTTGTCTGGCTGGAACTAGCGAGTGTAGTTACTTCTAAAATCTATATTTTCTTCTACTTTCTTTGTTACAAATACGAGCATGAAAAAGGTTTAAAAATTCAAAGAATAAGATATTTTATATGAAGGAGCGTGATAGTTAACAGCTATGAATAAGACTTTTTTCCTAGTATTTTTATCTTATATCGATAAATGAATCATCAGAAAATGTTTTGACATCATCAAGGAAATGAAGCTGAACGCAACCAACTAAATTTGTTTAATAGTGTGAGTGCATTCAGTACGCAATTGAAAACATTAATATTTCTGAATTCATTAAAACAGACAGCCATGAGAAAACAATCTGCTAATAATTGATAAAACAAACAATAATCTGTTTTATATGCTTTTCATTTTTGAGAATAATTGAATATTATTATCGATTAGAAAGCGTCCCTGAAAAAAATATTGTATTTCAATTATCTTTACGAATTTTTAACGCACTTGTATCACAAACACAAGATTATTAACAATTGGTCTACAATACACTTTTAGAACCCTGATTTTTATGATTAAAGTGTTTTTTCAAATAGATTATGAAAATCGTCGTATTTTTTGTTAAAGGGACTTTAACTTTTCTCGCGGGGCAGAAACTAAGTATTCATATATACGTTTTTAAAATAATAAAACCGTTGGAAATATACTCACATCTTTTTAAAACGATTTGTGCTTGATCTCCAATACTTTCTTCATAAATAATAGAGCGATTTGTCCGGTTTTTTTGAGGACAACTTTTACGATATGAGATCAATGATCTTCGCCATTTTCCAGGTTTCAAATTGATTTTTTCTCTGTCGTTTAAAAGTGGAAGAACAGAAGACCCAACTGATTTTTTTGAGAACTTCGCTTCAATTAAAGTTTTTCCCGATTGTTCCCCTTCAATACCCTCAGCGCTTAACTTCCTTATCAAAGGAACTAAATTCATTGTCACTGATTTCTTAGAACGATTTCTTGTCATTATATTTCCCTTAAATTGTAACGATTCACTTTTATCAACAATAACTTCATGCTGATAATTCTGAGTTGGATGTTTTGTAGAATCTATCTCATATTGAGTTTCACAAGGAGTTTCAGTTGTTTTTCTTTTCAGGGTTGAGGCGTCATAAGTCTTCTTTTCAGATGGTTTCTTGTGTGTTGTTAAATTTACGTGTTTGGAAAGGTTGTTGTCAACGAAGTTCGTTGATTTATTATCCCCCGTCACATTTAAATCCTCTTTGAAAACCTTTAAATCATGATGTAAAGTCAGATCTTGTTCTTTTAATACATTCTTAGTTAAGTTTTGAGCTTCATTAGATATATCATGTTGGAAAGATGAAAAATGAAAAGAATGGTTATCAGCTTTAGAATTCAAATCTTTAAAAGAGCTTTCATTTTTTTGAGTTTCGTGTAATTTTTTTCTTGCTTTAAGAATATTCAAGTTTACAACGGTAGGCGTTCTTTTAGTGTTTTTCTTTTTCAAATATTTGGGTGACTTTGTGTGTCTTATTTTTTGATCAGTAGTTGTTCTCGATGGTACGTTTAAATGAACAAGTTTGCCAATATTTTGAGAACTTTTTAATGTATTTTTATTCTCTTTGCATTTAGCTAGTAATGCTTTGGCTGATCTCAAGGCTGACGTTTCTAGTTCTCTTTCTAGTTTTTCCATATCACTTAACTTTTGACGTCTAAAACTATCCAAACATCCTTTCGACAAGTCATTATCTTCCTCATTCTGTTGAATAGGTGAAACTCCAAACTCTAGATCAGTCTTATTTTTTTGGGCTTTGCCTCTTGGTGTTGATACTTTGATATTTTGGAAATGTTTAAGAAAACTTTTCTTCTGATTCCGGTATATTTTAAGTTTTTCCTTTTTTTCCTCCAAATAAGCATCATAAAATTCATCATAAGACGAGTTATTTCCTTTCAATTTCATATTTTTTCTTGTTTTCATCTTTTGCTTCAATATGCTCTGAATGTTTGTGTGATTTAATATGGAACTATCATCAAAATTTTGTTGATATTGATTCAATTGAGTAATTTTATTTTTTCTTAAATGAAAATAAAATTATTAATAGAAAACACTGAAATAAACTTATTTACCTACTTCTTTTGTTCAGGTAGTTCGTCAAATTTATCACGATCTTGACTAGAAATTTCACTTGGTAGAGGAGCAAATTTCTTTGCTCTATTCTTTTTAATTTTAACTTTTTTTTCTTTGTCAGTATTCATATTAAAATATAATAACTTAAACTATTCAGCTTTTACTTTGGATTATTAGAAAAATATATTAGCTACCTAACTTTTCCTGAAGTTTGTCCGTTGAACTAGAAGGAAATTATAGTAAACAAAAGTGTTATATTAGAGACTGTTATAAAAAGCAATTCAAATTTCATTTAAACGCTAAATTAGGTATTTCTAGTTTTAACTCCATAAGTATTCATACGTGTCTGAAATATCTTATATATTATATAAATTATTAAACATATTTGAATTGAAATACGAAAATAAGTTTATTTATTTTTTATCTAGTTAAGTCACGGTTTAGATAGGTAGTTAAGCGGGTAGTCGAAGTTTTCATTTTTCCAATATTATAAGCAATCACAAATTTGATTGTTCAAATATCTACTCATAGATCGAGTCCCATCACAATTTTCAGCGAAATCTTTAGCTGTATTACATTGATTGCAATCAGTAAAATCGGAATCCTTACAATTCTGTTAAAATAAAACAAAATAAATAAATACAATTGAAAAAATTAAAGTCAATGAGATATGTAACTTAAGATTATTTTAAGCAATAACTTACTCTAAAAGCATAAAGTGAGATGCATTCATAAGCAGCAATAAAACGAACATCACAGCGTGAATTTGTTGGGAAATCTTCATCATTAATATCATCGATACATTCATCAACAGCATCAGCAAATATTTGTTTCCAATCATCATCAGCAATCTGTGCATCAAAATATTTTCTTGCGGCTGCTTTATCAATTTGATTATCGCTATTGACAATGTCACATCTTTTGAAAAGTTTTTCATAGAATCTCTGTTAAATAAAATGCATATTTAATTGTTATGAATTTCTTCAATAGACATAAAAAGCTTAACGGATAAAAGTATAAATAGGTAATTGAACTTACACATGCTTTCAAATACTTTGATTGGTTTGGTGTTTTAGCTAATTCTTGTTTAATTTTATGTACCATTTTTTCACTTGCAATGTCTGGAAATTTACAACAATCCTAAAAGTATTTTTTGATATATAGTTTTCGTATAAACAGGACCTGTGATTGTGCTTACGCTTATATTAAATGTTGGAACTTCATTACAGTTTTGACTTAAAGTCAAATCAAATTGAAGTGTTGATAAAACAACAAACACGGTTAAAAGTTGAAACTCCATCGTTTATTTGTCAAAGCTGGATGATTGAAGACTGATACGATTGAAAGGTGTCATAAAACTATTTATATATTTATTTTAATAATATCAGATAATAATTACCAATGAAACTCTCTGAAAATGTATTGCCAAACATTAGATATTCGTCATAAAAAAAGTACAAAAACGTGCGTTAATAGAAATGAGACATTAAAAATTTCATCAGAATTAGAATGTTGCAATAATATTAGATTTAAGTATTATTCTAAATTAAATTGATGTAAGGTTTTTATTCTAAATTAAATTAATGTAATGTTTTTTTTATCAAATAAAGTATCTAGGTAATAAAAAGTAAAATAAAATTAAATATTACAATCA